AGGGTCACGAGACATTTCGCTCTCGAAGCGTGATGTAGTGTATTCTGGGAACGTGTATTAATGAAATTACTTCATTCACTAGGGGAGTCTTGTCATCTAATTACGTAATACTGCCTTTGTGTGAGAAAAGTACTGTTGGATGTATTAATTAGTGCACAGATAGTCTTACTCTACCTGAGTATCACTGTAATTTCTGTTATCTCATCAGGGATCGCTTCGGATTTCATACAAATTGTTTTCACTCGCTTGTCTCCTACTGTTAATTATAAAGTAGCTTCCTTAGGAAAATTCGGATGTTTATTCTATTTAAATTGTAGAAAATCTTCTAAGCAGCTCAGACTTCCCATATACTTATTTATAATACTTTATATTCTTAGAAATTCTATTCTCCAGTTCAAAACCTTTACATGACTTACTCGACCATTATAACTTTCAGAAATGTTAATGTCACATCTGATTTACTTCGCTAGAATGACTGGCACAATAGAAAGATTATTTAGCTAAATTGTATGCCTCAATAGAAGGCATAATCTAATAGGTTACTAGGCCCAATACAGAACTTATTCTAAATAAATATACAAGGAAAAAAATAATTTATTAAATTCTTTACTGTACAGAAATGGATGTATTGATTCACATTCGAGAAAATTTATTTTTCATCCAAAACTTAAAACCTTCAGAAATTTAAACTTTTATCCTTAAATCTACGAAAATCTGGCCAGAAAGCTTAAACATCAACTCTCCAAATCAGGTAAAATCCTCAGGATCTTAAACATCTATCCATCTCGACTATTAAACACCTAGAAAGTTTAAACACCACCCTCTGCAAGCTCGAAAAATTCAAAATTTTTCTCACTTATACACCGTTTCTAGAAGAACCTTTTCCCATACTTTCCTCATCATAAAATGTTTTAAGTAGTAAATACTTTCTTAAATAGATTTTTTGGAGAAGAGGATTAAAGGAAAGAAGAAGAAGGAGGAGGAGGAGGAGGAGAGGGGAAAGAAAGAGCAAGAAACTCCAACTGAAAGGATGAAAATTAATATATTTTTCGATAGGAAAGCTAAGCTTAACAGTTAGGAAAGAAGTAGCAGTTAGTAATAGTGTCAAACTGTTAAATCTAATAGAAGATAAAGAAGAAAAGAAGTTTGGAGGAAGAAGAAGAAAAAAAAAAAATGCAGCAGTAGTAGTTGTAGTTGTAGTAGAAGCAGCAGTAGGAGAAGCAGTCCTCCTCGTACAGAACGTCTTCCAAGCTTTGTCAGCAAGAATCTAGCTTTTACAGGGGTACAAAATTACATTTCGTTCAAACTCGAAACATGGTATTGCGACAAAAATAATCCTGAAACCTTTCTTGGTTTAGTGGTTCGACTGATTGAATCTGTTCGCTTGGCTCACGACTCGAGTAGAGTCAGCAGCTAAACTTTTATTCTTACCTTTGTCCATTTTGTTAACTCTTGTCCATTGGACATTTCGGGTCAGTTCACATCAAGTCAAGGGAGCTGTAAGGATATATCGTCTGTACACAGTATAAAAGACACAATTCCGATTCGATTTCAACTCGGTGATAAGTTGTAAACATCTCTAAATATACTTTTTTTATATATAAAGTAGCTCCTCATATATATATAAAGGAGTTATACAAGCTCCTGAAGTGATGCGGAATCTGCTCTTTCTTTATCTTTACTCTTCTCTGCTCTCCAGCTTCCTTAATCTTCTCAGCATCTTTATGCATGTAAATAATTAAAATAAATATTAAAAAATGATATAAAATTAAACATTAAAATTATTTTAAAAAATTAATTTTTAGTGTTATTTTTATTAAAATTAATTACACGCTGTAATGATTTTATTCGAGTGACTCTTCTCCTCCTCCTCCTCCTTTTTCTCTTTTCCTCTCACATACAATGAAAATAATAAATTTTTATGTATTTTTACTTGATTATTTTATGTAAATATTTAATTTCTAAATAGCTAAATTTTGTAAAAATTTAATTTTAATGCGGTTTATTTTTTATGTAATTAATTAATTAATTATCTTTCAGGTGCAATTTTTTAAACAATATTTAACACTTGAAATTTTTAAACATTACACGAATAATGTATTATTTATTATTATTATTTTATTACTGATTCTTTAAAAATTTTATTAAATTATAAATTTTAAGGATAGCTTTTAAGGATAATTTTACAAATAGGATAAACTCCCGATCTATAAGTCCCTACCCCCTATTGATTCAATGATCTTCTACTATAAGTAATTTATTAATAGCTAAATATCTGAATAATTTTATATAGAATTTATATTATTGATGATTAATACTTTTGATATATTACAATGTAAGTAATTTAAATCTTCTTAATAAGCTTCTTCATTACCATAGATAAAAGAATACTTCTTTTGATTTAACAGCAATTTTCCTAAAAATTAATTACAATTAAGGTTAATTTTACTGTAATTACATTACTGATGATCAGTAGATGCTTAACAATTTACATTATAATCGATAATTATAGAGAACAATTGGAGAATAACAATAAACCCACGATCTCTATGCATTAGAATAGATTCCAGTATTTAAAAATAAAATAATTAAAAATCTGCTTACATTTTAATGTAGTTACATTACTAATACTGATTAAATGAAGTTAAAGTAGTAAATAAGTCGATTATTTAATAAATTAATATGTAAAAAAAGGAAAAAAAATTTCAACTCATCTTCAGCATCCTTTCATGGAAGCTGAGCATCAGTTGAACCGAGTTGTGTGCTAAAAGTATTCTGCAGATAATTAACGAAAGACAATAATTATATTTACTGATGTTTAATAAATATTAATGAAAGGGAAACGATACAAAACAATTGTAAAGAAAGAATAAACTTCTGATTGTTCATATGCTTATGGAATTTCAAGAATTCTTATTCTTAGATCTTCAGCAGCATTTCAATTAACCGATAGATCGTGAGCTGTATTTAAATTATATATGATGTGTTACGCATCAGAAATCTCAACTTCCTTCTTCTCTATTGATTTTTCTTAAAAAAGAAACAAGGAAGGGGAAAAAGTAGAAAGGCAGAATGAGTTGAGAGGATTATAAGCATCCCTTATATTTTTGTAAATAAAATTTATATTTGTATTGCCTTTGTGTATGGGTGGATGGATTCTTTACTTTTTTTTATTTTTTTTATGTATGAAAAAGGTTATTTTTGCACGGATTCACACACAGACTCACCATTATTTTTGTAGGAGAGAGATCAAGAGAAAAATCTGAAAGATGAATAAGTAAGATAAAATGCAGATGATGCAAGATATCTGTAAAATTTTCTTAATTTCAACTTATCTTTATCATCTTTTCAAGTATTATTATTAAATTTTATTTTATACAACATTTTTTTAATTTCAAATTAGAATTGTATAGCTATTTTCCTAGTGTTAATGATGTCGAGTTTCTTGTAATTAAGCCATTAAATAAGTGATAATTAAATAATATTACCGATCTTATTTAACAAGAAACTGGTTTAAAAATAATATTTTGAAGATTACATAAAGAGGAATTTAATTAAAAGCATCCTCTTAGTATTTTTCTTCTGGATATTCTGATAAGAAACTCGTGTTCCAAGTGCTTAGTTGATGATTGAATGTTGTTAGAAGTCCATTCTTGTACACAATTAAGGATAAAGGGGAGGGGGTCGATTCTAGTTAGTTGCTGGCTTGCTACGTGTTTTCGAAGCGTGATTATTTGAGGAAAAGGTTAGAAAAGTACCGCTGCTTTCGTTACTTTTAAAGAAAGTACTACTACAAGTCGTGACTTATCTGCATTTGCATTCAATAAATGTTGCTACTAGCGAATGTCAAAAGATGAAATCCTTTGAGAATTTATTCTTTTTTTTTTTACTGAAATTTAAACAGTTACTCGTGTTTAAATTTAGAAATTTTTAATGCAATTTTCTTTATTATCTCTCATTTGTCTACTTATCTTTTATTATACTCCCTCATCTTTTCTATTGTATTACTCTTCCTCATCTTATATGTTATTTCAATCTTTCTTTTCTTCATCATAATCACCTTCGTCTTTATTCGATATATTATTTTACATAGACATTTTCGTTTCCTCCTCGTTTCATAATTTCTATTTTATTCCCATTCCTGCTTTTATTATCTTTTTCGTTTCTCCATCATCTTTTTCTTTATTCTGAATACCTTTCCTCTTCCTGATTCAATATCCTCATTTTCCTCCTCTTCCTCCTCATTTCTTCTCCTCATCCTCATCCTCATCCTACGTATTCTTTAACCGAACGAATTGTTATTAGAAGATGAGAGATATTTATCTACAATAATGTGACTTATGTGAAACGTTTGTATGTGGAAGAAAAATCCAACAATTGAGTGAAAAGGGGGCGAAGACAAATGACGTTATTTGTAGCAAGTGGGAAAACGTATAGCTGTAATTATCCGCGCCAGATAAAACGCATCTCGCACACAACTACTAAATCCGTAAGTTGCAACATACGTCAATGTCGAGGTTAGACGCCACCCCCTGGGTAATAAAACCGCTCATGAACGGATCACGTGCCTCTTGTTGGACCCTGTGATGAAATTACAACAATACCAAAAGGCCAAAGATCTCATAAATTTACAAAAATGTGTGTTGTTTCCTGTTAGTTTCCACTGATTTTTCATTGTTAAATATAATTTTTACATTACAAATAAGTGATTTTACGGGAGCAGAAAATATCGATTTTTATATTTATATTTGTTTCCTCTTACTAAAATATATTCTTTGATCGAGGAAACAATGCTGTAAAATGTATAAAACATGATAAATATATAAATAAATATCTATAATATCTATATATATGTTTGTGGGTAGAGTATAGAGAGGGGTGATCTTATCCATATGATAAAATCTTGCTGTAACATTCAATTTTGATGAGATACACCCCAAGTTAAGGTATGATAAAGTATATATTATGTTTATGTATTTAATGCCGATATATTGTTACAGACACAAGAAGAAAGTCCAGCATTTCCTGCCATGTAAGGAGGGCCACCAAGGGCGTTGTGAACTGTCCACATCAAACGGCCTTACGTACGACGATATGTTGATCAATCACCATCCCACAAGACTTCCAAATACTTCTAATCCGCATACATTGACGCCTATAGAAGTAAGTTAACTTACTTTTGGACTCGCTCTTTTATATGTGGTTAATTTACCTTTCGAATCAACTGCAGTAGTCGGATAACGTGTGTTAATTTAATTTTGGGCTTCGTAGAAGTGAGAATGTACGTTTGAGTTTACCTTTATAGAAACGAGTTAACACAACTCGGATGACTTCTATAAAATGGATCCACAGTTTCGTAAATTCACTTCAGTTAAAGAATACATAGAATGAGGAGGAAAAGAAAAAGAGGATGAGGAAGAGAAGAGATAAAGAAGATGAGGAGAATGTGAGAAAATAAGGGAGAAACTAGAAAAATAATATCAGGATGGATCCAGAATTGAGTTACCTCACTTCTATAGTAGAAGTTAATTCAGAGTTGCGTTAAATTGCTCATGTAAAAGGGAATTCAAAGTTCAATTAACTCACTTCTATAGAAGTAAATCCAGACATGGGTAACTTCTATAAAATTGGATCCAAAATCTGGATCTATTTTAATAGAAGTGAGTTAATTTTACTCTAAATCCTTTTCTACAGGAGTAATTTAACTGGATCCACTTTCACTCTAGAAGTGAGATGACAATTCTGGATTCATCGTGGTATTATTTTTCTAGCTTCTTCCTTATCATGTCATCTTTTCATTCTCTTCTTTATCTTCATCATTTTTATCTCTCTTCTTCTCCTCCTCCTCATCCTATGTGTTTTTTTGAGTAAAATGAGTTAACTCAACTCTGGATCCAATTCTGTAGAAGTGAGTTAACTCTGCTTTCCTACACATAATCTACCTTTTTGTAGAAAAGTTTTATACCTCAGAAGGTATAGAACTACCCCAACTGAAGTTAATAAACTCATTTATATACTAATTAATTAAAATTTCGAAAACAATATGTAACTTTTACTACAAACAACTCCATTAAGTTAAATACAGATCGATTCTTCGTGTTTTTTTTATGGTGTAAGATAGAAATTGCCAAAAAGTCTGGAAAATGACCTTTTTATAAAGTAATCACTCCATCGTCGAGTCGAATCGTACAAAAGGGCAAGAAAACTTTCTACCCTTCTAGATGCGTGTCCATTGTTCACGTTACAAAAGCCCATCTCTTAATCCAACCATCATTGGAAAAGAAGATGGAGGACTTAGCCTTGAGGTGGATGTTAGGAGGTTGGAAATTAGCGGACGAACGAGCAAATACCCTGTGAGATAACAGTTTAACTTCAACCCAAGACTAAAGATAGTCCAGATAAGAATTGTTTCTGCTGCAATTAATTCCCATTGGAGTTGATTCTGCAATGCGGTATCTTTTGTTTGTCGTTCTTGATGAAAACTCGCTGTTTACAACTGAGAGGTGCATAAGATGAAGGATTTTAAACCCTTTCCCGTACTGATTTTATACTTTATCTTTCATTTTATCTATATATAAACCTATTTACTATCAATTTTTGGAAGAATTTTATCGCTTATCTTAATTAAAATTTATATTTTTTAAATTAATTAGAAAACTGTTTAGTGTTTCTATATATATTTTCCATACATTTATTCTTTTCATATAGGTATTTTGGTAAAGATTTTTCTGTAATTTAAACTAGTTGAATTTAAATTTATGGAGGAATTTATCGAAATCTCTTGTCTAGCTCGAAGAAATGTCGTTATTTACAACTGAAAATCATTAGAAATATCTAAAAACACCAAATTAATAATATTTTAATGTCATTTTATATACTTGGATCATCAGGAATATCGTGGAACTCCTTCTCTTACACGTCTTTTCAGTTTTTCCTCATATTTATACATGGATAAGTTAGAAATCTCCTATTTAAAACCATAATTTACAACTAAAATCGTTAAAAATAGTTCAAAATCATTAAATTAACGATTTTTAGTTGTAAATTATGACGCTTCTTTAAGATAAACAGGAGATTTCTAACTAATCCATGTATAAATATGAGGAAAAACTGCTAAGAGAAGGAGTTCCACGATATTCCTGATGATCCAAGTATATAAAATGACATTAAAATATTGTTAATTTTACGGTTTTGAGCTATTTTTAACAATATTTTAACGTTGTTTTATATATTTGGATCATCAGGGATATCCTACTTTCTTTTTCTCTTACTCATCTTTGCAGTTTTTCCTCATTTATCCCTGCATTTTCTACAATTTTTACTCTGTTTTCTACTAGATCAGCAACAGACTACTATAGAATATTTACCCATACGTGTGCACTTTTATCTTCTAGAATAAATAAATTTATCTATAAATCTTCACTGCGAAAACATATTTGTTTATGTGTATGCATTCACAGTAATGCCACTAGTACTGAAGATATACAACTAAGATGAATCGATCACAATTTACTAAAGTAATATTAGAAAAATGCGGTGCTTTCAGTATGCTTAGGAAATCATCAGTTGTTATATATTTCTATCTAGACAAGTGGGAAGAGTAGAGAGGAAGAGGGAGAAGTAATTTCGTGTTATTGCAATGTCCTTTATCAAATTCCTCATCGTTTGTGCCTCCTCCTCTTCCCCCCGATTTTAAAAGCACCCTGTCACGTTTTAAAACTTTTCCAACTTGGCCAACGAAGGAGCGTGACGCATCACGCAATTCGTGAGCTTGGTTTATCTCGCCACCTCCTCTGGTCATTTCTCTCCTGTACATAATGCGATTCTGGCTTCGTGATAGTGATGCAGATGATGCCCCTAGCTTCCTAATAGCCACATCATGGAAATAGCCACTCAGAATCTAAGAGGGATGATGGAAATTGGAAAACAAGATACTGTTTTCTAACACGAAATCAAGCACGAAAGCAAAACTTGTAAGAAAAAAAAAATAAGAAGAAAACAAAGCATCAAGAGGGAGTAGAATGTGTGTGTGTGTATATACAATAATAAAAGGAGCGATAAGTTATATAAATGGAAGAAATGGAAGAAAATGTCGATTCTTTTAACAAAAGTAATGGATAATCTACATCCTCCGGGGCAATTTTTCTTGAAAAAATTAAAAATAACATTCCATTTCGTTTTTAAAGTTATAAAAATATGAGTTATAATATTCTTTTCTTCTTTTTCTTTACTGATGGAGGAATGTGTGTAAAGAAGAGCGATGCGAATTACTACCCCAGGCTGCCAATCATAGATCTAAAGCCTAGAGCATCCGCAATCTGTATCCTCTTACATTATTCATGTGGTAGCAGTGCGCACGGGGACCAGTAATTGCGATTACAACGCATCGCTTTCAAATAATTATACAGACACGTCTTCCATCCTCCCTAATTGTTCTGATAACCCGAATGGCACAGGCTCTTCCACGTTCTCTTACCATGCTTCACTCAACACCTGACGTCTGATGCGACGATGAACATTGTTGTTATGCTAGCATTTTATTTAACGACGTAACGAGCTAAATGATATATCGTAACTACGAAAATGTGGCTGAGTCACTCGACAGAAAAAAAAGAGGAAATGCATCGTCTGTTTGCAAAACACCAATTCATTATTTGTTTATGGAGTTTAAGAAAGATTATACAAAAAAGAACACAAACAAACCTCTCTACTTTTTACAATGAGGCATTTTTTACGTGTAACTTTGCCCCTTATCAGGTAATATGAGGAATAATTTAGCTGCAGATCTGTAGTTTATGTATGTATTTCCAGCTTAATTTATGCATCTATTAATTATAGTTATATTTACTTTATTAAGGGGATGAATTTACTCTTACTGTACATTCTAATGAGGAGCACAATCTCTTTCCTCATCCACTTAATCTATAGAAAGTAACATTTAAACGAATTGATATGCCATAATCTGGTTTTTAATTGCAGGGTATAAGAAGTAAATATAGAAATCTGGCATAAAGGAAGAGAAATTTGATCCAGACAAGAAAAAAAAAAAACACTTTATTTCTAGTTAACATTTACAATAATTAAAATTCAGAGAATCAAATGAAACTCTAACTTATTGGAACTGAAACTCGCTAGAGTCCTTCTTATTTTCCTATATATAAACACCGTGAGCTACTTCATTCGACTGTTTCAAAGATCTATCAGATTTCTCTTGTCATTCCAGTCACCTCATTAAGGAAACTCTTTTTTTTTTTATCCTCAATCCTTTATCTTCGAGTTCTTTTTCCAGTTTTCATTTCGCATCTTAAATTACGATGTTCTTGACGAAAGAAGGAAAGATTGTCTGCTTCCTTAAGTACTTTTTTCTGCTCTCTCTTTCTCTCATCCTTTCTCCTTCTCTTTCTCGGCTTTCAAGATTTGTGAATAATTTTATCTTAGTTTAAGTTATTGTTTTTAATTCTGTCATCATTAATAAATTTTTGAAAAGTAAGAAGAATTCATTTTAAATAGATTTTTATCAGCAGCGGTGTGTTTTCTACACTTAAAGAAGGATGCTAAAGTTAAACTCTTCTGTATAAAAATTTCGCATACGAAATTTTGGCACGTGAAAAACGACTTTTTTGAAGCCATATCTTTAATTAATGACAGAAATTTTTACAGAATTAAGTAGGAAATTTATAAAAATGGCTACCTTAACTTGAAATTAAATAGTTACTACTATAAATGCTTGTAAGTCTCGCTAAGTTTGTGCGTGTGTTTAACTCTTTCTGACCTTGAAGAGGGATGAAGGATGAAATTTATTTCTTGTAGATACAGTAAACACGATTAACATGTTTTGGTATAAGATATACTTTTTTTTTTTTACTTTTGCAAATCCCTCATACCCCACATGACCATATATCAAGCTACATGTTAACAACTTAAGTGTTTACTTAAAGAACGTTGGTCCTTTGCAGCAGCAACTATTTAAGAATCCGACTGACAAGACTTACATTTGTTCGGTCGTTTGGACTGTCTGCTACAGACGTTCATTTTTCACAACGCCAGCAGGGGTCGGTGTTGTATTACTGATGAACAGGAGGATTACCGAGCTTCTCCTTTCTTTGTCTTTCATTTTAATGCATCGAGATGGAATCCTGGCACAATTTGCTGAATGCGCTCTATGTATTCTCATGTCTAAACATCACCCAATCAACAGCTGGGTGCGGTTCGAATCTATGAATACACCAGAAACTAGAGAGAAAAAATGATACAGATAGAGAGGTTTGTACGTCGTAGATGAGAAAATCGATAGGGTACAGATTGGCACGTTTTCCATCCCCGACGATTAACGACTGCTTGATAGTATAAAGAGCATTCAGTTTAGCTATTGTCGGTTGAGTAATGTGGAAACTGTCTGCCACCTTATCGTTCACAAATCTTCGTCTTCGGAGAATTTCGGTTTATAATCAAGTACAAGTATATAAGGCGTATTGCAGCAACTAAGAAGCGTCAAGAGGACAGTCGGAGTGGTAAATCATGGCGATTTAAGCAGCGATTTGTCAGCTGTCAGAACGTCATTGTGAGAGGACACCATCCATCTTTCTCTGTCTCGTATTGGAACGGCAGTTTGTAGCGGGCCACTGCCAACGTCTTTGGACTAACACCGATAAGGATGATGATCGAAACGACGAGTCTTTCTCCGAGACGGCATGATCGTCTCCTCCTTTCCAGACAGAATGACAAACGACCAATTTCCAACATCGTTCTCGACCTCTTCAACCACACTGTCTACCTACGGAATATCCTATACTACTGGCAGACGAGCATTATTCGGGGCGCCTGTAAAGCTTGTTTCTCTGCACAATTGACTGCTTGCAGGTGAAGCCGAACGTACAGACGAGATGATTTTAAAGTTTAAAATATATTGTTAAATTTAATGTAAATATTTTAAAAATTATTTTAACATTTTTAAAAGCTGAATAGACGTAAGTGACGTTTGCATTGCTGTTTTCTTTTTTTCTTTCAGTTACTGGATGTCAAGTACAGTGGATTTGTGCCGGGTCATTTTGGACATTCGAACTGCAGTTTTGGAGTTAAAGATATGTCGGGAAGTCGAGGATCGAGGAATCGAGATCATTTCAACCCCATTTACGAAGAAGTATCGGGTGGTTCCGAAGAAAAGAGTAGAAGTTACTATTCCGACATCGATGACAGTGAAGTAGATCGAAGAACTGTTGCTAGCGAAGACGAATTCGCTGAAGATGAACTCAGCGTGGCAGAAGTACCCGTTGATGTGAATCAGCTAAGGTCGGATTCTAGCAGTCTTCGAGGTTCTACGGGCGGAGATTTGTGTGACAGCAGTGATTCGGAAAAGAGGTGTTGTGAGAAGGAAGAGTACGATTGCAAGATGCAAGATGTGACAGGAATGAAAGGACACGCTGCCAAATCGCGTTCCTTAGAGCGAAACAAAGATGGTCACGCTAGCGAAGCGAAACAGAATTATTACATGAAGAAAGTATTATCTCCAGACTTTTCTTATTCGGAACTTCAAGAAGGTGTACAAGTCACCCATATTCCTCGCTCCACTTCCGGTTCGCAGAGAGACAGTGGTCTCCCGCACAGCAGTAATAGTATGGAATTGGATTTGGGACAAGCTAGTTCGGTACACAATCATTCTTCTTCACCTTCCGACCCATCCCCTTACGGAGGCGTGATGGAACCACAGACTTTTGCCGGTTTCTTCAGGATTACTACAGACTCTCCACCTCCACCTCCTTACACACCATCCGGATGCCATAGAGAAGCGCATGTGACTAAATCGGCACGTCTTCCGGATGCGTTATTGGCAGAATTGGGACAGAAATTAGGATCACCTTACCTTCCCCCTATGAACAGGGGTCACACGTACAATCCGTCAGGACGTGTTCCCACTCCACCACCACATAACTTTTATTCGTGCTTGGAGGAGGACGAAGGTCCATTTACTATAGATGGAAGTCGGCACAGAATGATGTCAACCGGAAGAATTCGTCAATCAGAAACAAGACCCTGTCGAATGGGAGGATCGTTCTCTCATAGACTCTTAATGTCGAATAAAGACAGGGCCAGGACACACATTTCTGAGGAATGTGATTCTAGAACAGCAAGTAGCACGTGACTTGATCTCAAATATTTATCCCTGGATGCAAGAAAATAAAGTTTTGCTGTGATAATGGTCGCGTCCCAAGCGCACTAATGTGTGCGATATTGTGACAGCTCAATATAGTACCAAGATGTTCTGATGTACTCAGTTGGCGATCGTCTCGCAGCTCCTTTTAAGTGTAACTCTACCGGTTACTTCTTAGCAATAAGTCATGTTGTTTCATCTTTTATTTTCTAAATTTTTTGTAAATCAATCAAACTTTTACTTTTCTCATTATTTATTATCTTTCCATTATATAAAAGCTGAGGGACGATTATTAAAAAAAAATGAAATTGTGTAGTGAATTGTATATTTGTACAGAAATTTGTAGATGCACCTGCTCAACAAGAGTAATAAAAGAAAAAAAAAATAAACAAAAAAAAATTCAGTAATGTTTGACACCTAACTGTAATAATTTCAAGTGAAAGTAGAAGTCGAGCCATCGATATTTGGTATATAAAAAATGGATAAATTTAATTTTTAGTCGGTTTGTATGGATAGAAAAGTGTCTGATATTGTGAGTTTGAATCAGGAAGGTGCAACAGTACATATCAATCCCAAGTTGTATTGCTTTAACACATCACTCGAAAGGTGATGATGAAAATAAAGATGCATATTACGCGTCCTTATTGATATCTTTGTATTATTACTGATTTATATTGATTATTCATAAAATAAAACACACCAAACTTTAATATTAATTGTTTAAATTAAACAGAAACGCCATCTTTTCTATAGTAGAAACGTTGTTAAATTATCGAAACATTTTTCTCGGTAAAAGTTCAGTATAAAATATTTCCACCCATAAAAGCGGTAGACTAGGATCAATTTCGTATATTTATTTATTCATAGACGTCTTGTCCGTTTTGAAAACTCCCTTTCTCGACTTTTTATGTCTTGAAGGATTTTTCTTTTGAATTCTGTCGAAAAAGTGAAAATATTCATTATTCATAATCGAAGACTGAAAAGATAGAAAGGTGTTGAATACACAATGGGTGTCGTTTGCTTTCTTCATAAGCAATCGATGTTTATATTTTCCTTCCCAATTTTTTTTTCATTCAAAATTTACGAGGGGAGAAAAATAAAATAAAATTTTAATCCTAAACCAATTTATCCTCCCTCCTAACAAAACATTATTTCACTTTTATACCTATAAATCTCTTGTTAAGATGGCGTGTTAAGTTATTACTTGAATACACGTCAGCGAAACAAACATACTTCCTTTCCTACTTCAGCAATAAAATTCGTATAATTCATAAAAAATTTTCGTTAAATAGGGCCATTCTTCTATAGAATTAAAATAGAATATGAAAAAATTAAAGTAAATCATTAATTGTTAGGGTGGTCGAGTAGTTAACGTGTCAGCTTATCGCTCTAGGGACCCGGAAACCGATCTGGACCGGTAAAACTTCAGGAATTCTTTGGGAAGTGTCCCTAAGCATCTTGTCCATTGTGGGCCTGGCCCAATTCATAATATACTTAATAAAAAGAACCCTTTTCAAGACGGAAAGACTTAAAGAAAAAGTACTAACTACGACTTGTGCCATGTATTGAAAGGAGAGATCATAAAACACTTGGATGGAAAAAATGACGATGAAACCACTTCAACTGTTATCTTTCAAATAATTAATATTATTATCATAACAAATTTACGAAAAAATAAAAAAAAATTCCTGGTATATTTATTTATTTAGTAGCAAATTGAACTGTTATGGGAATGGAATCAGAAAATTATACACTGGGTTTTCTCTTTCCTATTTTATTCAAGACAATTTGTCACGACTCGGAAGGAATGTCATGAAATATAAAACAGTTTGTTAGATTATCAGTGAGTATAGTATTTCAACGACGACACAACTGGTTAGCAACAGAAAAGACATTGATCGTCTCGATGTTTTCTTCAACTGAAGTATACTGATGTTATTTCTTTTCATATTCATAAACAAACACGTATTTTCAAGATATACAATTTCTTATGAAAAACAAAAAAAAGCATTCTTTGAACTTTAAATTTTCTATTTATATTGTGTTGTATTATAATAGAATATTTTAGCATAAACATTTGACTTTAAAAATTTATTAACAATTGCCATTCAAGTTTAAAGACATTGAAGAATCTGGAGAAAATAAGTCCAAATCTATATTATTTATCAGAATTAGTATGGATTGGGGTGCAGTTTCTAGTTCGTTATCTACGTTACTCAACCCCATTGCGGGTTAGATCCCTTTGTAAATGTGGCCGTTGCAAGGTCATACTATAATGGATCTGATTTCGAACACGATCCAGACCTTATAATTTATCATATGTAGTATGATTGAGCATCATTTTTCCATCCCTTGCCCTTACTGCTGACTCCACCAGCGGTCGAGTGGATAAAACTACTAAACACTAGTAGTTAGTGGCAGGTTCGCGCCTAATTAACAAACTGGCCACGTGGAGTTTTCCGTGTTTTCTTCGCGTGTCACCTAAATAAGGGCCATTCTTCTATAGAAATAGATTGCCCACGTGTTCGCTGCCTTATTTTAACAATACAATGTAGTCTTTTACATGTGGCCTGCCCATATTGGGCAAAATTGTGACTGCGAGACACCAACAAATCGCAGTCTATAATGTACTGTCGTCTCCCATTAGTATAATTTAATCTAAAATCACGAATACTTTAATTTTGTTTTAATCTATAATTTAAAAAAAACTAATAAAAATTAAAAATATATTACTGGAATTCTAAATTACATTTTTATTTTTCTTCTATTACTAATAAAATGTTTATTTAGCATTTAAAGTATTTGATTTTATTTTTTACATAATTATATATCAGGTAATGTAAATGAGTTACAGTAGTTCTGGTGGTGTTGGAGGATGAATTCAGTTATAACGTATGTAAGTATAGTTTCGAATACTGATAAAAATAGTATTGTAATCTTACATAAATACAATAGATTTGTAACAGCAATAGTAGTGTAACACATAATGATTAAAAATAGCAATTTTTCGATGATTTTAGTCGAAAAAATTCATTATTACAGTACACGTGGCGAGTGGAAGGATGAAATTAGTTACAACACATTAAGAGGGATGAGTTGTAAGTCGTGATCACTGATAATCGTTACAATGATCCAACGTAAATGGGTTATAGTAGAATTTTGACGTATTGTATCCCTATAATCATTTTAATTATAATAAAGGAAAGTAATTAAATAGAGTCGGAAGGATGTTTGGTCATTTCCTATCCATCATGGAAGGCGTCCAAAACTCTTTTGTTTCAATCTTCCATTATTTTAAAACGTCATTGTTCAACAAAGATTGATCATTTTTACTAGAAAATTTCATTTAAATATTTTCTGCCGTCCGTAACCGTTTTGTTTTCTAAAGAAAGACAGGAGGAGGAGGAAGAGAAAGAGGAAGAAGGGGAAAAAATCAATAACTTGGATGGAGATCAAAACTATTTATTTTAATCTGATCGATCAGGGAAGAGGTTAAATAAAGTTAGTAGTTTGCAACAGTCGACATTAGCCTTTCAAGTTGGTACGTCTGCTTGTTTTTTTCTTGTATATGCATAAAATTGTAGTGTTTTCTTTCTAAGATTCTTCCCCTTTTCTCTTTCTTCATTCTACTTATATTCGCTGACAGATAAATGCGACCGAACTCAGTTATAAAACACCATTGGGCTAAACTTTCATAAATCACGTACTTTGCCCAACGGACAACGTTGCTTCTTCTATGCTACTATAGTAGCTTTAATAGGAAATGGTGCTAGGGTTTGGAATTGAGACGTCATCTGCAGTTCACCATCCATCAACGTAACTGCTGGATAAGTGATGGCATCGACCCTCGCAATAACTTAGTCTCTTTATAATATAAGATCATCTAAAGGAAAAAAAACATCTGTATATATATTCTAATAGCACGCACAAGCTATTACTATCTTATTTTTACTCCTGTAGCAGTAGTTCACCCCCCTTAAATTACTTCAACGTGAATATTTAACGAAATTTTATAGCTTATATTAAAAAGTTTTATGTTCTTCTGAGCTTATTAGAGTTTAGAATTTTATTTTTTGTTACTGTAGCAGTATACACGAAGAGAGAATTTAATAGCAATGGATAACCCCTAAAAATTAACGAATGCTAACAATTGGAAAATAACGTTGTTATTTTAGTAGCATCGAATAGAGTAGCAATAAAGTACTTCCATGTTATTCAAGCATTCAAGGAGTGTTTGTTACAGGATTTATTCTTGTTGTTAGAGCTCTTCGTGAGGAGAAAGATATTCATTGATCATTGTTGCTGTTATAGCATTGCGTGCTATCGTAAGAGTTAAAAAAAAACATAACAATTTTCTATTATGAAATAATTTTCTATCGCTGAATATTTATTGATGTACCTAAGCAATTCAATTGCCAAACTATAATTGCAAGCAATTTTTTTAGGGGATATTTTTTTTCTATGACAGAAAATGCTATTACATGTTTATGGAAAGTTATTGCTATGTTATAGTCGTATGTAATGCTACTTACTACACAATCACACGAAGTCTTCAATTCCATTAAACAACTTGAAAATATTCAAGCGATAACGTTTTATTGCCCTATTAACTATAGTAGAAAAAATGTATTAGGGTTTTTATCTTGCTAAATTGTACTACTACAGCAACAAAAATCATTTTAAAAACTGAACGAATTGGACGTTAAAACTCTATAAAATATTATTTTAAAAAAATCCATCAAAGAGTTGCTTAACTTTCCAGGCAAAAGTTAAAACTATGGTAGCGTCATCTATTACGAGCCTTTATTTAAGAATTTTTTACGTTATTAATTATTATAAAATAGCAGAAATCTTAATTTTGAGGCTAGAGATGAATTTTATTTTAAAAAAAGCATTGTAAATGAGTAAAATCTTTATTAAATTCGACCATAATACTCGAGATATGACAAGTGGCACGCATCTATCTTCCCACCCCGTCGACCTTTAACCACCAAAATTTAACAGCATAAAACCCCCTAATAAGCAAACCTCAATGCAAAATTTCAGAAAATTTTAACGAAAGGCACAGGAGTTATTAAGCTTCAAACAGGATGAATAAAACCGTACCCTCATATGTATTTAATTTAGTTATGATCATTAATTTTTTTATTTTTGTAATAAAAATGAACGAATAATGAGTAATTTAATATAAATGTGAGTTTACTACTACAGCAACAAACAGAAGAGGGTCAGTAAACAACAGAAGGGAGAGGTAAAAGATTGGAAGATTTATCAATAAAAGTTAACTATATCACCGGATTGGGAAGCCATCATTCAACTTTTATAAAGTTTTATAATGGAGTAAATATTGGCATTGATAGCAATTAGCCTTAATTAACAGTAAACTAGTGGAGTAAGATGCTGAAGTAAACAACAGAAGCAAGGAAAAAAAGAACCAAAAAAAAAAATTTGCACACACCCCCATTAGTGGTGCTGCAGCTTAGTAATTTTCCATCTTCAATAAAATCTAATCTGGTGGAAAATTAATCAAAAGGTGGCCAAAAACCGCCACAAAATTCGATAGAAAGGAGTATAGAATATCCTGCAGGATCGATATTTTATGTTGATTTCTTTTATTATTATTATTTTTTCCTGCATATTTTTTTTAAAAAAAAGGAAATAAATTGCATAAATTTATAT